AACAGAAACAACTAAATTTCTTGGAATACTAATTGACGAAAATATATCTTGGACAGCCCATATAAGTTCAATAAACACCAAAATTTCAAAAAATATTGGGATACTCTACAAAGTTAAACTTATGTTATCCCAACATAATCTTAAATCGCTTTATTTTTCTTACATCTAAAGTTATCTTACACACGCCAATATTACACGGGCAAGTACACACAAATTTAAATTGAGTACTATTTACATAAGTCAAAAACATGCATCAAGGTTAGTTTATAATAAAGACAAGCTGAACCCACGCTGAACCCTTACTAAAAACCTTGAATGCACTTAATGTTTACCAAATCAACATCTACCAAAATGTTCTATTTATGATTAAATACAAACTTGGACTAGTCCCATCGCATTTTTTAGATAACTTCTTTCCAGTAAACTCTAATAGGTATATGACAAGTGCAACAGGCAACTTCACACTGCCCAAAAGAACAACAAAGCTCTCACGGTTCTCTATTTCCTACCGGGGTCCGTACAGATATAACAAAATCATATCAAAAATATAGAACTTAAAGTATTAAATAATGCTGCCAACTTGAAACATAAATTAAAACACCTTATACTTAATACCATCAATTATATCGACATGTATTAAACTTAACATTAAAATTTATACTTAAATATTCATGTGTATCACTGACTGTATATTGTTTAACCACTTTTGACTATATATAAAAATAAAATACTTTATTTAACCTTTTAAAGAGGTACTCGATGATAAGTCTTCATAGACTTCTACGAGTTTTCCTTTACAAAAACATGTATATATTATTCTGTAAAAAAACTGAACTTTTTCTCTGATAAACGTTTTTAAATTTTTGATTTATAACTCTATTATTTTCATTACTCTACTATTCAACGTTTCCTAAAATCTTAAGTTATTAGGTTAAAAGACAAAGCAAAGATTTACCATTTATTACACAGAAAAACTATGGCATCACCACATATACAAACTCCAAACATTTTTCAGTATTGAGACAAATTTACTAGAGTATTTCTTGTTAGTCTCTCAGTTAATATAAAGTTTACAGCAAATTAATTGTTGTCAATGTTTTTTTTTGTTGTTGTTGCTTTTGTTCTCTTGCTCACCTGATCGCCAGCTTTTGGTTATCTTATCTTTTCGTGCGTTTTTTACGAAAAAGATTAAAGTTTGTTTCGTCCGACTGAGTGTCTGACACTTGTTTTAATGAACATAATAAGTTCATTGTCATTCTACAGAACTTTTTTATTAAAAGTTTGTCCATACTTCCTTGTAAACTATTTATTGAAATTTCAAACACTTTTGAAACAAATTTATAAGACAAACATTACTAAACACTTTTGGAACTTACTTAGATGACAAACAAAACCAAACACTTCTGATACTTAAGCGACTAACAATACAAAACATTTTAGCAACTACTTTCGATGACAAATTAAATGTTTTAACAACAGCCACAGTAATATTTGTTGTTTGAGCATCAAGCTCATAACGATACTTTTTTTTGGCATTTGAAACAATGCTACATATTTAAAACAAATATCATACTTGATAATAAATTACTTATTACACAATCAACTGTTGATAAATTATGCTTTGTTTAAACGTATTATTTGATAAACTTTTATGTTAAACGTATTATTTAATAAACTTTTATTTATATTATTTATACCCCTCCCTCCCCCCTCCCTCAAAAAAAAAAAAAAAAGAAAAAAAAAAAAGAACAAAATTGATCCATTTCACTCCATAAATGTCAGTCACAAACAATTTATCTTTTGTATTATCTAAACTTGATTCAAATTATATTAGCTTAATAAATACATTAAACATTACATGTAAATTAAATTCTCTAAAAAATATTGAAGCAAAAACACACAAGGAATAGATACCTACCTACTGTAAACGATATTTTTGAAACAAAGGAAAATTAGCAAATCTTTTATAGTTGAGTAATTAAAATTTTACTTAAGGTGGTACATCCCCATTAATTTCGAAATTTTTTAGAAAAAATCAATTTTTTGAAAATTGGTTTTTTAACTTCAAAATTTTTCATAGAATAATATTATTATTTATTTTTTTAATAAATAAATAAGGAAATGTGTACAATTATGTGTTTTGTGGCCATAGTAGATTGAGAAGTCCGTAGCAACGCCATAGCAACGCATTTTAAAACAAAAAAATTTAAACTTGCTCAAGCTTATCAACATCAAAAACTCTTTTCTACTGCAGCTTCTTGTTTGTTTTTTGCTTCATGTTTATTTTAAAAGCTATAACTTGAACTACTCATGCGAACATGTATCAAAATATAGTGCTTGCATGCTGTTTTAGTTTGTTAATGTTCTTATAAATAAATAGCTAAATAAGATATGGGACGTTCTATTGCTCGAACTAAAAAAAGAAAGTTTTCTTGTAATCAACACCTAAAATCTTCAAAGTTTATTCAGCTTGATTCATCAATTTCTGATCCAAGTTTATCAGCAAGCTCTAGAAAACTAGTAAACACTGAAATATCTGGAAGTCAAAAAAATTACAATATCATTATTAACTTTAATATTTTAAAACTAATGGTTAGTGAGTTTAAATGCCCTAAATGTGGAAATGAAGTTTGTTTGGAAATTGACTTAAAAAGCAAGAAAGGTTTTTGTTTTTACTTAACTTTACAGTGCCTTTGTTGCCCATTTAGCAAAGGATGGCACACGTCTCAGTTTTCAACTAAAAAATCTAAAAGTACTCCAGGTGTTCCTACTGCATCAGTTAATTTTCAAGTTGTTACTGCTTTTCGTGAAATTGGTAAAGGTTATCAATCTATATGCAAACTTGCTGCAGTAATGAACATGCCATCTCCTATGAATTTTAAAAATTATAGTGCAATTAATAACAACTTGTTAAATACTTATAATGAAGTTGCTTCTGAAAGTATGTCAAGTGCTGCCAATGAAACCAAAGATATTATTTCTAATTCAAGCAATGTTAATGATGTTTCTGCTTGCCAAGTTTCTGTTGATGGTACCTGGCAAAAGAGAGGTGATCAATCTTTAAATGGTATTGTCACTGCAATATCAAGAGAGAATGGAAAATGTATTGATTCAATTTTGTTAACTAAGTCCTGCAAAGCTTGTAGTTATTGGAACAAAAAAAAGTCAACACCAGGTTATCAAAACTGGAAAATAAATCATGTTTGTGAAGCTAACCACAATAAATCATCAGGATCCATGGAAGCTTCTGGTGCTGTTTCAATTTTTCAACGGTCAATTGAAAAGCATAGTTTGAGATATGAAGGCTATATTGGAGACGGTGACAGCTCAGCATATAATGATGTTGTTGCAAGTAATTCATATCCAGGTTTTGAAATAAACAGACTTTATTGTGTTGGACATTACCAAAAGAGACTTGGAAATCGTGCGCGTAACCTTAGAGTTACACTTAAAGGTCAGTTTCTTTCAGATGGAAAAAGAATAAATGGAAAAGGTCGTCTGACAGATAAAGCCATAAATACGCTTCAAAATTATTTTGGTATGGCTATCCGTCAAAATGTGAATAACCTTTATGCAATGAAAAAAGCTGCTTGGGCTGTTTTATTTCACAACAGTGACATAAGTGAAGAGTCAGAGAGACACAAATTTTGCCCACGAACTAGAACTAGTTGGTGTTTGTGGCAGAGTAATAAAGTAACTGGTGAAACAACATACAAAACCAAATTAAGCTTACCATTAGCAATTAAAGCAGTACTTATGCCTATATTTACAGATTTGACAAATGAAACATTGTTATCAAAATGTTTGCACGGACAAACTCAAAATAACAATGAAAGTCTGAATGCCTTAATATGGAAAAGATGTCCTAAAGATTTTTTTGTTGGGAAAAAAGTTCTTGAGATAAGTATGAACTCAGCTATTATAGCATTTAATGATGGAAGCACAGCAGTTGAAAAAGTAATTAGTGCTGGAGGTATTGAACCAAGTATGTTTATGCAAGAAGGACTTCGTAAATTGGACCTCATCCGAATTAAAAAAATGAATCACAAATCAAGTGCTAAAGGTAAATTAAGGAGAAAACAGCTTAGAGCCATCAAAAAAGGTTACATAGATATTGAAAAAGAACTGGAAAAGGACCCACAATATAATAGTGGAGGTTTTTAATTGAGCTTGTACTTTTTTTCCTAATATAACGAACTTTTATTTTGTTTTTTGTGTTTTTCTCAAAACGTCATTTTTACTAAATACCTAAATTTTAAAACGCAATATTTTCAGTTTGGGACCATATGCTGACTTGAAATTTTCAGGGTGCTTTTGTTATAAATTGACTTGAAATTAAATTTAAATTGACTTAGGTAATGAACCAAAATTACAAATAAATATCATGTATAAGTATGTTTAAAATCTTTTTTTCTTTTTTTTTTTGTTAAAAATTTTCTTAAATTTATAGAAAGTTACTTTTAAAATGTTCTATGCATCTTTAATGCATGATTTTGGTTCATAACCTCTTTGTACCTTTTAGTAACATAATGTGAAAATTTCAGAGTGAAAGGATATATAGAACTGGAGATATCTTGTTTTAAATTACACCCATATTTTGGCAATTCTTATGGAATAAGTGAGGCAAAAGTTGGGCAATCGAGATTTCATTAAAAAAAAAATAATCAGCATACTTTTTTAAACTTGTGTAATGTAGTTTTAATTTTGTATAGATTATTTTAAAGAAATTTTTTAGAATGGGGGTGTACCACCTTAAGCAAGAACCTGTGCCAACTGGCGAAAGTGGGCCAATCAGTTTTAATAGTTCTTGTAATAAATTGATAGAACAAATTACTGGATAATTAATGTCTCTTTAGACCGATGAATGCATTTAGGCCAGTGTTTTTTAGCTTACTTTGCGCTACGGCATTACTGCTTTGCGTTTCTGCAACGAGTTCGCACCAATACAGGTTCGTTGTTAAAAGATTCAAATTTAATGATTGCGTTGAATAATAGCGTAATTCACACTTAGTAATAGCGTTGATTTTCATTGTTATAAATATACACGAATAAATATTGACAATAAATTTCTTACTAAAACTGCATATCACGTCAAATAAAAATCATACATTAGCATATCATTAGGAGCGCCGAGAGCCTTCACGCCGTCTGAGACTGTAACCCTGATTGGCGCCCCTATTTTTCTAAATTTTCCTATATTATCGGTGAATGACCAGATTTTTTTCTATTTTCAGGTATCTTTTTTATTTGGCACCCCTTGGGCATCTGCCGCCCAAGACGAACTATCCCCTTCGCCACCATCTCGGCGCCCCTGCATATCATATGCCAGCAGAAATGTTAATACAGCTTCAAATATATTTCTATTCCATTTTACAAAAACCAAAAATTAAAAAAAAAACTAGCTAACTAAATAAAGTATCATTCCACTGGATCAATCTATTCTGCCGCTTCTTTGGTGAAATTAAGAAGAGCTACTTTAAGTTTTTCTAATTCTGTTGACAGTTGCGCAACCTGAAAAAAAAGGTGTATTTTCTCAAAAACAGCCAATAATCGATAAACAAGCGATAAGACTAATTTTAAAAAAATTAAAATAAATTCCCAATTTTAAAGAAAGAAATTAACTGAAACACATATTTCAAAAATCAAATGGATAACAAATACATTTATGAGAATTTTTTGAGAATAAAAAAAGTTCTAGAAGGTAAAGAATCATACAACTTTTTATTTACAAAATGTCAATTACATCCCATGCGATGGATGATTTCAAGTCAGCTAGTGAACTACATTGTTAACAACCTATATGTGGCAGCTGTGCCCAAGCATTCTCAATAATATTCAGGTCTGGAGATTTAGCTGGCCACTTCAATGTTCCAATTTTACTGCTGTTGAAATATTCCTTTACTATCTTAGCTGTGTGAAAGCTAGCATTATCTTGCTGAAAAACAAAATTTTATTACCAATTACAGATGCTTCACGTTTTAAAAATTCTTGAACAATCGAGAGATAATGCTTCGCCTTCATTTTTCCGTCAATAAAATGAATTTTTGATTTACCATGATACCCAATCGCACGCCAAATCATTACACTACCACCACCCATTTGACGTTGTTGATGTGTTACTGGTTCTTTAGGCAAATCGTAAAAATAATAATCCATCTATACGGCCCATCAAGACAAAAACGTTATTATTCAGAAATAACTACTTGTTGCCACTCTTCTTTCCATGATACGTGGTCCTTTGCAAGTATTATTTGACTGTCTATGTGACTTGTTGTTTTTTGCGTGAAAGGTGAAAACAACCTTCGCCTATTACGTTCACTTAATGTTGATGGACGTCCGGGACGTTTTTTTTTATTCCATACATATGAGGACTATTAACGTAGTTTTTAATCACAATTCGGCTGCGTCCAATAGCTCTAGCCATGTAACCAACAGAGTGACTCATTTTCGATAAGTAACTAACAGAGTGACTCATTTTCGATAAGTAACTAACAGAGTGACTCATTTTCGATAAGTAACTGAGTGACTCATTTTCGATAAGTTAGAGAGCACTTTTTCTTCATCTCGACTCAACAGTACAGCACGACCCATTAATAATTAATTTATTATTTTATACTTAATAAAAAAAACCTAAACTAAATTTTTAACAGTTCACAAATGTTTACAGTTAAATAATTGTTTGTGGTATTTAAATAAATATTCACAAGTGCCATCAAATAAATATTCTTAAGTGCCCACAACTGCGGTTTGCAAATAAAACTTTTTTTGTAAAATTGTCTTATAATTTTGTCGTACTGAAAAAACGTTTTTTTTTTTTTTTTTTTATAAAATGTGAGTTAGGTTAAAAATAAATTTGTTAAAATGTTGTTTAGTGTTGTAAACCCTTTGCTTTTATTTACAATAAAAATTAGTTTTTAAATATAAATGTATGATAAATCTTTTTGGGGTGTCTTATCATTATGTCGCGAAGTGTATGATGATAGAAGTATGATGATATGATCGCGCAGTGTATCATGATAGAAGTATGATGATATGATCGCGCAGTGTATGATGGTAGAAGTATGATGACATGATCGCGCAGTGTATGATGATAGAAGTATTAAGTTTCATTTTAGTTAAATATTGGATTTGGATAAATAAAAATAATACTGGTTGGCTGGTCTATTATAAAAACTTAAAAAAACAACGTACATTTTAATTTTGAAGATAAAACCACCTATTAATTAAGCAAGTACAATGAGTTCATTCTGTATAATCATGACAAAATGATGAGCTTTTACAGAGTTTTTTACTCTTTAGTTTTTGTATGAGTTTTTGCAGAAATTAGTTATAAAGTCTATCATTATTGAAGCTGGTTGATTCCAAATGCACACTTAGAAATCCTCCAGAACTTTAAATTCCTATAATTTTTGTTATGTAGAGTCCTTAGGTCGCAAAATCAATGCACGCATCGTAATTAAAATAAAAATAGAGTACGGAACTATTATCCGTACCAACTGG